CTGTGCACATATGTAACACTCACAGGCTGGGAATAAAAACTGGCTACTCTGCCACCAATGCCATTTTTCAGAGAGATCCTCGCTTCCTTGAATGTTCATGCACATGAAGCATGCCTGCTCCTTTGAACTCATGTATAGTTCCTTTGAACTATCACCTGTGGCACAGGCATCCTAATTTTGCTGCTTTAACTACATATCAGGGGCAGTTCCTAACCTGCACAGACCATCTGGGGGAAGCACCATTTACCACTTCTTTCAGGAGATAATCTATTTTCCTTGTCTTGGTGAAGGGGGATGAATTTCCTTGCATTTACCTTCTGGATGAGCCACCAATCAGCTGTTATGAAACTTAAGACAGTTTTAAAGCTGCCATGGACAACAATGAATTAGAGAGGAAGGAAGGAGGAAGTGGCAATGGCAAGAAACATTGATCTGAGAAACGCATGTAAATCATCAGTGGAACTGTAAGTTCTCTTAACAAATGCATTAAAAATAGTTTTGTTTTCTGTAACCAAGTTTATGTTTCCATACTTTAAAAAGAAAAGATTAATAAGTATTTACCATCAATTTGCTTATTTCATCTAGTTTCACGTTCGACAGAGAGGGAAACTGGGGCTCTGAAAGAATAAACTTGGATGGGATCTCTGCCAGAGTCAGACACCTGGTTTGACAAGGTCTTTTCCTTGGGCCACCACCTGCTGGGGTTGTGATGTCACAGTGGCAGGGCATGGACAGCCCACCCTCCCTCCTGTCTCCTGCCCTCATCCTGTCCCCTGGCCTTTCCCTGAGATCTGGCCTGACACCTACATCAGAATAAAGAGCTGTAAAGTGTTCTGGCCCAGGACAGGGGTTCTGGAGTTGAAACTTCCACTTTCTGCCAGGAGCTAAAATGCTATTTTCCATCTTTATCTGAATTTCTCCCACGGGCTTTAAAGAAACCCTGAAACCCAAACCCTTACCAAGCTTTTCCTCTCTTCCGCATCCCATACTCTTTGGTTGTGTTAAAGCAGTTTCTCCGTGGAGTAAAGTGTTTTCATGGATTTGCCTGAGAAAAAAAACCTCAGAGGAGGCCAGGTTTGTCCAATGAGGATCCTTCTGAGTTCTCATGGTGGCTCTAATCCCAGAAGCTTCTCTATTTGTCTTACCGAAAACTGCTGTCAGGAAGGAATTCACACTGAAGCTTAAAGGGCCAATTGAAACTAATGCCAATAATAGCTGACATTTATTGAGTGAGACAATATGCTCAATACTTTACATGCATTATCTCATTTAATCCTCACCGGCAACTGTTATTATCCCCAATTTACAAATGAAGTGGAGAGGTAGGTAGCATGCCCAAGGTCACACAGGTGATCTCTCTAAAGCTGAAAGCTATGTTTTTTAACTATAAAGGTTCTGAGCAGGAGTGTTTCTGTGTGTGTGTGTGTGTGATTGTGATAAAATTCACCACTGTAATTTTACAGTGTACAGTTCAGTGGCATTCAGTGCATTCACAATACTGTGTAACCATTACCATTAGTTCCAGAATTTTTCATCACCACAAAAGGAAATCCTGTACTCCCCATTCTCTGCTCCCTCCAGCCCTAGGCAACCACTAGTCTAATATCTGTCTCTATGGGTTTGCCTCTTCTGGCTATTTCAAAGTTCACCCACGTTGTGACATATATCAGTACTTCATTCCTTTTTATGGCCGAACAATATTCCACTGTATGGAGAGACCACATTTTGCTTATCCAGTCATCTGTTGAGGGACAGGTGTGTGTATTTTAACAGAAAGATGGCCTTTACCCTCAAGGAATGAATCTCTATGGTGGGATTTCAAGCATAACATCAAACTGGAGATAAGAGAGTTGGCAGCAAGGGCCTTTCTCAGAACTTGCAAGTCACAATTTAGAAATCACTCGTTCTGTGACTAGCTCTGTGGGAGTGGCAATGAGGCGGGATGTCGAATGGTACATGCTCCCCACAGGTGTCAAGGCTTCCAAACCACTTCTGCCTGGTAGGGAGGTTACTACAGGACGGCATCTGGCAGGCTCTTGGAATCAAAGCTTACATCTCAGGCTACTCACCCCCCATTCCACTGGGGGAGGACATGTCATAAGAATAACTAGGTTTCCACACACAGGCTGTTTGCACACGCATAAAGGAAGGGAGGATCTGAGTGATCCCCTGGATAATTTAATCCCCACGTCAGCCCAACTGCTGTCTTGGGTTCTCTCCATAACATATATACACACATAAAATTAATTACGCAACTTCTAATAATGCACCAAATAGGTCTTCTTAAAGGTAGTTAAATCAGTCCAGTTTGAAACCATTTGGCTGGGCCAAGCTTTCTTTGTGAGGCTAAGTACTGCAGTGGTTCAGAACAAAGGCTTTAGAATCAGGTAGACCTACATTCAAATAGTGCCTCTGCTACCATTAGCTCTGGGAATTTAAACAGGAGATACAACCTCAATTTCTTCACCTATAAACTGGGAACAGTAGTTAACAGTACCAAACTCAGTGCATTCTTACCACCATATGTGAAGAATGCAGCGTGGTGCCTAGGAGAAGCAATTTTTAATGTGATTATTAAAAATCACCGTCGTCAACGTTTACTGAGATTTTATGAAAGGACAGACTAAGGATCGCAACTGCCAACTCTACGTTATTCGATACAATTAAACCATGAGCTTAAATGGTTCAAATTTATCCCATCATCTTACATTCCTATAGATTTCATCCAGTAGCTGAATTTGGGGGAGGAAAAGAAAAAGGACCCACACAAAACTTTCCCAGTTGAAGACATTTTTATTTCGGTACGCACCTGAGTCCCTGGCAGGATGGGCCTGTCCTCCGCGGGAGGACATGTCCTCCCCCTCCTCTGGGAGAGAATGGGGGCCCTGCCCTGAGGGGGCAGCTGGGGGATGAGGCAAAGGGCTATGTGACAGTGATAGGTCACAATGAGGCAAAGGGCTATGCGACAGTGATAGGTCACAAAGGGCATCAGAGGATAAATAGGCTGTGCCAGGGGGTTAGGCTGAGAAAGTGGTTACTTCTCTCACTAGGACTGAAGTTCACCACAGCCTCTTGGGGAGATAAAAACCCAGAAGCCGAAGTGAGGTGAGGCAGCGGGGGAGCCTACCATACCTCTCTACACACTTGAAGAGATTCAGCCTGGGGTCCAGGCACCCTACAGCGTCCCCACTGTGATCATCTGTGCCCCTAACCACAACCCTGCCTCTGGGAGACCCTGAGGCAAAGGTGGGGGCCTGTGGGGCGGGCTCGGAAGACCTGCCGTAGGGCCGCCTGTGTGTGACGTACGAGCACCGCAGCTCACTCTTCTGCCAGTGAGGCCGAGGGAGGGAAGAGCCAGGGGCCCACCTTAACCGCGCTGCCTGTCATGATCAGAGACAGCCATGAGTGGGGACTCTCTGCTCCCGTATCACACGGCCCAGAGCAGCACCGGGGTGGGCCTATTCAACACCACCACGGGGAACCTGCAGCAGCAACTGCGCAAGGGCGAATACGGCATATTCAAGTACGCGCCGATATTCGAGAGCGACTTTATCCAGATCACGAAGAGGGGAGACCTGATGGACGTGCACAACTGTTTCTGCATGGTGACCGTGCATCCAGCAGCCGTCCTCCCACACTCCCAGACACCATGCTGCTGGCCCGATGGGCCACCGGCTGTGAAGAGCACACTGAGCACAGCCAGGCCGCCAAGGGCAAGAGCCACGAGGCTG